CCCGCCCTGCAGCCCCGGCCCCGATGGCCACTCACTCCACCCCGCAGCGGCCGGGAGGCCTTTCCTTGTAGAGTCATGGTGGCCGTCATCCTCATAGCGTTACCGTGTCGTACGTCCGCGGTCCTCACAGTGCTTCTGCTTTGCTCGCCAACCCCACCTTGACCTTGACCTTTAAGTGCCCCGTCGGCCCACCCGGGCCCCGCGGTCGCCGTGTCCGCCGCTCCGACTGTCACGGGTGCCTGTCGGCACGATGCAGAGCCGCGGGGGCCGAGCTCCTGCCTCATTCAACGGCGTCAACTCTCCCTCTGCCCTCTCGGCGGTGACCTGATTCAGCCCTGGCACTCCGCCCATCCCCTGGCCCTCGGCTTCCCGCGGCCTCGCTGTCGCCGGGCCGCGTGGGCCGCCCTTCTTAGCTGTCAGGATTGATTGGCTGTGCCTCTTTGAGCACCCCTGGCCTTTCTTCCTCTTCCAAGCCTTTCTCCTACTCCCTCGGACCCGGTGCCCACGTTGATAGTGAACTTTCTTTTTTTTTTTAACGACATCCGAAACTTTTCCTTTTTTGCCAACCACGAACGTACTTGGCCATGCCGTCCCAACCTGAATGTGAGTTCCCGTTAAAACAAAGAAAGCATCCCAGAACAATTTTGTGCTTCCTCTTAGATAGGGTGTTTTTTTTTTTTTTTTAAAGATTTTTAAATTATACTTTAAGGCCATTTGGGATTATCAAGATTCTGAGTGTGAGCATGGAACTTCCCTGTTGCCCAAGTCCCATCTATATCTCAAAAGTCTCGTATTTTGCATTTTGCCTTTTTTCTTGGAAGCCTTGTCAGCCACATCTCACCTCTGTGGTCTTGTTCCAAAAGCTTGCTAAGTTAGGAGCTCCATTGGAGCAAACACTGGTTTGACTAAATTTGATTTTCCCTCTGCCACCTTCCCCAAGCAGGCTTACTGATGTTTGGTTTAACTCAATAGCTAGCTACTAGTTTTGTTAGACCTTGTTATGTTACCTAGGTCTGGATCTCATTTTTTGAAATTTGGGATTTTTCTCTCCTATCTCTGGTTGTTTCTTTTGCCTACCCCCCTTCTAACATCTATCACTTGGGATTTGTCTCTCTTTTATGAATTTGATGATCTAAAGTAGTGCTATTTTGGGTTGAGCTCTTATGGTATTCCCAATTTTTTTTCCCCACTGGGACTATGAAAAAGTATTATGTAACTGGCTCTCGATCTGCTTGCAGTATGTGTAGTGGTGGTCCTGAGAGAGGGAAGCATTAGCTGGACAGATAGTTAATTATTGAGTCAGCGTTATTCATTTACTCCATGGTTTTCTGGCAGGTCTGGCTACTTGAATCAGTTTGGAAGAGGAAATAACCTTTAAAACTGGGATGGGAGTTGGGACTGTGGGGTCCTGGAGGTAGAAGTAATTTAAAGATGGTTTGTATGAAATGTTTAGTTCTTTTTTTTTAAGAATTATTTTATTTAATTTTATTGATTTTTCTGATGATTATTATTATCAACTTGACCAGAGAGACACAGAAACAGAGAGGGAAGGTGAGAAAGTAAGCCGCCAAGTCCAGGACTTGTGAGAGTCCAGCGCCCTAATCACCATGCCACCTGCGAGCACGAAATGTTTCGTTCTTATGCACAGATTAGAATATCTCCCCAGAACTTGAAGATGGAGATGTATAGTTATAACTGTCTCAAAGAACTCCCCTATGGCCCAACAACTGGATACATTTTACCTCATTTGCAATGGGTAGAGAGTAAATTGGAGATACCAAGCCCCTTTATCCCTAACCTGTTTAACATGGATTTCATAAGCACAAAGACATTCTCTTACATAACCAGGGTACCATTATCCGAATTAGGAAATATAACATTGATACAATACTGTAAGGCATGCTCTTTCTGAATTTTCTCAGAGCAATGAATTATGACCTTGTTTGGTTGTGATCTGTTGCCAAAAAGTTGTCTGATAGTTAGGAGACATGGGTTCTGCTTGGACCTTTTGACCAGGTATGTGTCATTGGATGGATCATTAGATGACCTCTTTAGTCTCCCTGATTCTAAGTGGTAATGTGAAGAAAATTTTTGCCATTTAGTGTAGGTCAAACCAGCATTGGAAGGAAAGTAATGTTTCCTTGGGAAATGTTATCTTTTTAGGTGGTACTATTCTGAGAATTTGGGAGTTTAAAAACGGCTAAAATGGACCAGCTCTGGCCTAATAGTTAAGGGAGCCTGAACCCACATGATTTACTGTGGTTTGAATTCTGGTCTAGCAGCTTCAAGAACATGCTAGGCATGCATGCACCAAATTCTGACAGGATAGAGAAACAAAAGGAAAAGGGATTGAGGTGTGGCCATGCCCCATTGAGGAATGCTGTCTGTTTCCGCCCCTCCCCTCCCCCATTTCTTTGGCAAGTGCCCACACCTTCCAGCAAATTTAAAAATCTGGCTAAAACAAGAATTTTTATGCTTAATATTGTCCAGGTTACTCTTCATTTCAACTTAGCTTATAATGGAGTTTATCCATTTCCACGTGCAAGAAAATAAAGGATATTATTTGTGATAAATGATGCAAATTAGTCGAAGAGAAGGCTTTATTTTTTTATTCATACTTGATTACCAAAACCATAGTTTGCAGAAAGAAGCTTACCAAATTATTTGGAAAAATACTGTGCATAGTCTTTGTAAAGACCCCTAAAATGGCTTAGGATCTTGCTTTCAAACTAGAAAATGAAATGAGGTAATAGATTTCTGTTATTAGATTAGTATTTAACTAATTAATCCCAGATTCGTGTCTTTTGTAAATTTGAAACAGATAGACTATATCTAAGAGGAACCCAAATTTTTCCTTTTTTGTTTGTTCGTTTGTTTTTTTCTAGAGAGCTTTTTGCTATAGAGCCTGTGTGTTCACCAGAGAGACAGAGGTGGCCCCACTGCAGTCCCTTCTTCATTCTCCTTTCGGGATCTTGGGCACACATGCTCCCAATGTGAGTTTTGAACTGCAAGGTCTGAGACTCAAACAATCGTTGAAAACGTGGGAATCCAGCACCGTAACCATTATGCCATCTGGTGGTCCCACCATAACCTTCAATATTGACCCTGCAGGTTTTTCTTTACTATTGTGAATGGGCTGAAACCTGGGGAAAACTTCTTCAGCAAGTAGATGCAGTGTCGACTCTATTGAGAGAGTAAATGCACACACACTTAGGCTCACTTATTCACTCACTGTTTACCACAGAGAAACCCCACAGCAGAACCTTGGACAGTGAACTGACAGGGTAGCCTTTGCTGATCATTTTAGCGGGCAAGCTGGTCAGTAAATGGAAGAATGCAGAATGCCCAGGGTATTTGTATAGTGAGAAACCTTGTTTTGCAAATAGTTTTATGTAGGGGAAGCCTTTGACCCCACCAACATTCACAAAAATTGAAAATGCATAGGGCTGGCAGGTGGCATGGTAGAAAGGGGCGCTGGACTCCCACATGGCCGACTGCAGTTCAAGTCCCGAACCTGACGGCTTGTTTTCTCACTCTCACTCTTGTTCTTGTGGTCCCTCTCTGGTCAAAAATTAAATAAGTAAAGTTAAATAAAATAATTCTTTTTTAAAAAATTTGGAAATGCAAATAATTAACTTAAGACTGCCTGAATCATCTGATTGTGAGAAGGTGAACTTTTTTCATAATTTGTAACTCTTGATAAACATTGGTACAAGTGTTCCATTGGTACAAGGTTTATGAAATCCTCCTAAGACTTAAATGTAGACTGGTAGGTTGAAGGCTTTCTTGATTTCTGAGTTGGTGCTTATTGTAGTTTTTCTAGCATTTGAATCTAATTTTACATAAATATTTTGGTAAAAATTTATCTTGTCTCATTAAAACAGTATATGATAAAGCTTTTAGTTAAAGACTTTGCTGAGATCAGTTGTCGCTAAGTTTTCCAGGTTCTATAAAAGAAGGCATTTAAGAAACTTTAAGAAATGGATTGTTAACCTCTAGTGAAGAAATGTGTGATTTTTACATTGAAGTAAAACTGGCTAGTGTTGCTAGGGAAAGTTAGGCTTGCTGCCCTCTGAAAGGCCCAGGATGTGTCTTGGCCCTGTAAAATAGGGAAAGTGGGTATCTTCTGTAAGACAGGGCATATGGTAGAGACAACAAGTGTTTGTTTTTTATTTTGTTTTAAATAGGTCTGAAGTCCCCTTTAACCAACACTTGATACATGTTAACAGCATAAATAAAAACTCAAGGAAAATAAATACATCTCCTCCTATGAGGTTGGAGGTGGTGTAGACAACAGGGTATGGGTGGGTTGGCAGGGTGCAGGTGGTTGGGTAGGTACACGAAGGAGGAGCAGACCAGATTGGGAGACCCCCGTGTCGGTGCCTGAGTCTTAAGTGTCCTCTTGTGTGTCTGGGCTGTCGATCCCTGCCTCCTTGCGAGGGGGAGCTGAGCTTTCCCCTTCCAGTCCCTCCTGGTCCTAGTCTCTCTTCTTGGCAGCGTTCTTTTGTCCCATTGTGGATGTAGGTAGCACAAGAGGATGTTTGTCTTTTTCGTCACAATATCTGTTCAGGCGGGTACTCCCGCATGGCATGGGCAGGTAGACTAGGAGACCTTGGTTCAAGGCTTTGCACGTGGAGTCAGCATGAAATCAACTAAAATTGCTTTTGTTGTAGACCGGCAAGCCTTTCAAAAACTCTGCCCTGTTCTGTCTCTTCTATTGCCGCCTTGGCCACTGCCTCAGCCTCCTCTGCTGCCACCACAGCCGCCCTCATACCACCACCGCAGCACAATAACTTCCAGCCCGACAAGTAGTTTTGCATCTGGTTTCAATTTTGTTAAGTCACTGCCTTTTTGACAAAAGAACATTTTTTTCCAAAGAATTGTTTTATTTATTATTATTTTTAATTTGCTTTAGGTCATACATATCCCCCAGAAAGAGAGAGAGGGAGAGAAGAGGGAAAGTGAGAAAGCAAGTTGCTAGGTCTAGAACTTGAACCACAGTCAGTTATGTGGGAGTCCAGCACCTTAACCCCCATGCTACTTTCTGGCCTCATAAGAACATCTTAGGGAATAGCTTGAGGAGAAAAGTTCTAGCTAGCCTCTTGGGTTTGATATATTCTCATATCCCTTTTCTGTTGTAAGATACAATTTGTTTTGTGTGTCTTTCTTTCCAAATAGGTAGATGTACATTTCCTTTTCTCAAATCTTACCTTTGAACATTGTTGTAAAGACTGAATTAAATCCCCAAATTCACTTCTTTTTTTTTTAAAAGAGTGAGTTTTGCTAAAGGGCATGTGCACTTGCTGGAAAGACAGAGAAAGGCAAGACAGGGAAAAATCATCCCCTGGAGGGGATGGCCATGCCACAGTCTCTTTTCCTCCATTCTCTTCTCGGGATTTTGGGCACACATGCACATGTGCCTGGTGTGAGTTTCAGGCTGCCAGTCTAAGACTCAAACTGCGTTTGACCATGTGGGAGTTCAGCACCTTAACTGCTGCACCATCTACTGGCCCCCAGATTCATTTCTACTTCATACCTGTCCATGGCATCAGGTGTTCAGAGGTGAACAACTTCTTTAGATGGCTTCTTTGATTGATTGGTTGATGTTTGTTTCCTCCCTTTTGGAAGAAATTTCTTTTTTCTTTTTTGAAGAAATTTTTGTTAAAGGGTGCATGCATTTGCGGGAGAGACATAGACCAAAAGCAAGAAATCACCCTCCAGGGAGGATGACCATGCTGCGATCCCTTCTCCATTCTCCTCTTGGGATCTTGGGCATTCACGTACATGCCCTGCATCAGTATTTTTAAGCCTCCGAGTCCAAGACTCAAACTTTGGTTGACTCTGTGGGAGTCCAGCAATGTAAACATTACGCCATCTACTGATCCCAGAAGAAATTTCTTTCCAATGTGTTAGAACTTGTCAAGAATCTTCATCTTTTTTTTTTTTTTTTTTTTTTTTTGCTGTAGGTCGTGTGCACTCGCCAGACTGACAGAGACAGACGAGAGAGACAGAAAGCTAGAAATCACCACCTGGGGGGATGACCACATTGCAATCCCTTCTCCTCCATTCTCTCAGGATCTTGGGCATGCACGCACATGCACCTGGTGTGAGTTTTAAGCCACTGGGTCCGGGACACGAACCACGGTCGACTACATGGGAGACCAGCAACGTAGCCATTACACTAACTGCTGGTCCCAAGAATCTTCATCTTCACCATATCATTCTATGTGGAAATTCAGATTTTAGGATTTTAAATCCAGGTGGAGAATTTTGATGGTTTTCTCTGTTCATTTCCTCATCAGACCAAAGAGAACCTTGTACAGTAAGAAATATGGCGTGGACCTCATCAGATATACGCATGCAGCAAACACAGTTGTTTACAGCTCAAACAAAATAGATGGTAAGTTACAGTCATGGTTTCATTTGTTAAAATAACTCACAAATTTTTGTGACTACTTTTGCTTTGATTTTAGTTACTTTAAATATTTTCCTATAATGTTTAGCACTGCTAATTATATTGTTATGATTGAAGGAATGCTGGAAGCAAGCCACTAGCACTTTTGAAGGACTCAAAACTTCAGAAGTGTGAAAAGGCTCCAGTTCAGATTGTAGAGTTGAAAAGGGAAGCAACTAAGTGTATTTATGGTTTGTACTTCTTAAAACTTGAAAAAATAGTTTGAAAAGAAAAGGAAAGAAATACTTGATACACTGCAAATGGTAAATAATAGGATCTTCCCATTAAGGCATAGATCTTTCTTAGATTTATTAATTTGTTCCATGAGTGAATAAGATAGCACCTCTACCAGGGTCCCATGCCATGATCCACCCAGCTTCCACCAGACCTAGATCATAGGCATAGATGTGTCCCGCATTGTCAGGGAGGTCCCTGGATGCCAATAGGCAACCTTCTATGTGGATTTGCCTTGCACAGAATCTCATTTTATTGCTAGGCCATCATCCAGCTCCTAAATATATAGATTTGAGAATAATTTCATGGATGTTAGTACTATAATAATCTAAGGGAAGTTAGAAGAGGTTTTGGTGTATGCCCAATGTTCTGTGGTCTATATCATGAAAGATAGTATACTAACTGGAGTCATCTTTGATTCCAGGGTGGTTTTTTTTTTTTTTTTAATCTGAATCTTATCCCTTTTTACTTTTAAGTAAAGATAATATCACCGAAGAGTAGAAGGTTATTTTTAGAAATTAAACTTAGAAATTTCTTTCTGTAATAAATTATGGGGCTTTTTTGCTTGCATTTCCCATGGGATAAGTCCTTCTGAGTTGACAGATTGTCCTGGTTAATTGTGCTATAACAGTTATTTTCAAATTGGGATTTTTTTTTTTAAGGTATCTCAGTGGTTTACTGATTATTTCATATTTTGCAGTAAGATTTTTCTACTGTTTTTAAACAGATTGCTAAGACTGCTGTTTAAGCGCTGCCTATCTCAGAGTGATAGGTAAAAGTCTCTCTCTTTTTAAAAATGAGACTTCTGCCTATATTGATTTTTAGTAAGTATATTATTTCTACTTTTCATGCCTCTACTTCAGACGTGGCTTTCTAAGTAAGCAGTACAATTGATGCTTTTGGACAAGAATATAAAACATTAGGATCCCGAGGAAACGCGATCATCTGAATGACTGGTATATTTCTTCTGTCGGGTTGTTTTTCTGAGTGATTAAATGAGGATTCTCTAAATGTGGAACAAAATGAGGCAAATGTGTGGGACTTGCAGCTTTGCTGCCAGGTCTCTGTTGTGAGGATGTTGTCTTTCTGTCTCGAGTGCATCCTGAAGAATTCCTCCAGCGCTCCATTTCCTTTTGCCTGATTCCAGGCTGAGGTAGTAGTTTGTACAGTTTGAGGGTCTATGATACCACCCGGTACAGGAGATAACTGTACAGGCCACTGCCTTGCCAGGAACAGTGCGCCAGCTGCTTAGTGGGGCAGAGAAGATGGCGGCGCCCTGCTCATCTCTAGGAAACCAGGTAATGGGAAAGAAGTCTTTTTCTTCTTAGGGCAGGTGAGTAGTTCCTAACACTAGGCCAATCAGGGATACTTTGTAGTTGTCATTTGAGAAGTGTGAAGATGTTTTCAAGGAAAACTATAAAGTTCAGTTATGGAACATACAAAGAATGTCCTTTCTCTCTGTTAGAATGCTCTCTGGTGGGGCCAGCAGGTGGCGTGGTAGTTAACAGTGTTGGACTCCCACATGGCTCACAGTGGTTCAAGTCCTGATCCCAGTGGCTTGCTTTTTCACTTTTCCTCTCTTTCTTTCTCTGTCCCTCTCTGGTCAAATTAAAATAAGCAAGTAAATAAAGTTAACTAAAATACTTCTTTTTTTTTTTTTTTTTTTTTTTTTTTTATAGGTCTTTTAGAAAGCACTGTGTGGGGAGAGCAGGTGGCGTAGAGATTGAGGTGCTGGATCCCACATGGCCAACTCCACAGTTTGAGTCCCAGACCTAGTGCCTTGAAAATGACTCCAGACACATTTGTGCACACACCCAAAATCCTGAGAGGAGAATGGAGAAGGGGTGGCAGGCAGCATGGCCATACCCCTGAGGGAGGATTTCTCTCTCTCTCTCTTTCTCTCTCTGTCAATGGTGCATGTACCCTATAGCAAAAAATAAAGAAAAGTAAAACACTCTGTGAACCACTGTGATGACTTGGTGCTTTCAACCTCTTTATTCCTATGTTGTTTGCCTTCAGAAAGGGCCTAGTACTTTCCAGTTCTGTTCTGTTCTTTTTCCCTCTTTCATGAGGCATTGAGAGTGGGAAAGACAAAAGCACCCTCAACAGTGACTCATCCTATGTTACTCTCCCCAGTCCTCCTAGCCAGCCAGGATCAAATGCGTATGTGCCCCTGGTTTGTACAGGTTTGCCTGCAAACCAAACCCCAGTCTTCCATAAGCCTTCCACCACTGAAGTGTTGAGCCACCGAGGCCAGGCCCCAGTTCCCTTCTGGCACTTTGTTCCCTTGTTTTTTTTGTTCGTTTACATTTTTGGATGGAATGATTTGGATTTCAATAGTTTTTGTCTTATTTTTTCTAGGGACAAACTCTCTGATTATATTTTTCTTTGATACTGTCAAAATTTCACTGCTATGACTTGTTGGTATATTTCATGAGTTTGGTTACTAAATATTAAGATCTTTTAAATCCAAGTGTCTGCATTACTTTTCTATTTGCTTAATTTAAATGTAAATCGTATATCTAGTTGAACATTTGGATAAACCAGGGCTGGTCAACACGCTGTTGAAGAACTTTGGACACAAAAATTTGCTACCATGGTCCAGCCTGATCTTTAGCTTAGCATGGCTGTGTACCTCTTTCAGCCCGTTTTTCTCAGCAGACAAATGTTTTTCTTTAATGTTTGCCATTATCTGGGCACTGGACCAATATCTGAAACTACGGATTTGGGGGCGATTGCAGGTTAAGTTGTAGTGTGACTATGAGAAAGCTAAAGATTGGTAATAAGATAATGACTAATCATTGCTTATGTGCTGTCAACTTAAACACTGCTTTGGGGACTAGCAGATGGTGTAATAGTTAACTCTCTGGACTTCCGCATGGCTGACTGAAGTTCGAATTCTGGACCTGATGGCTTGAAACTCATGCTAGGTGCATGTGTGTGTGTGTGTGTGTGCGTGTGTGTGTGTGCGTGCCCAAAATCCCGAGAGGAAAATGGGGGAGAAGGGATTGCTCTTTGATCATCTTCGCTGGGGGGTGATTTCTTGCTTTCTGTCTCTCTGGTGAGAGCACATGCCCTAAAGCAATAATCTCTTCCTATTGGAGAAAAAAAAGAATTAGGGGCCGGCAGGTGGCATGGTAGTTAAGGAAGCTGGACTCCTGCATGACCAACTGTGGTCCAGGATCTGGCTGCTTGCTTTCTCAGTTTCTCTCTCTCTCTCTCTCTACCTCTGTCCCTCTCTGGTCAAATAAATAAATAAATAAATAGGGGACCAGCAGGTGGCGTGGTGGTTAAGGCACTGGATACTTACACATGACTAACCATGGTTCGAGTCCTGGACCTGGGGGCTTGCTTTCTCACTTTCCCTCTCTCTGTGTGTCTCTCTCTGGTCAAATTAAAATAAATGAATAAATACACACTTTTAAAAAAAATAAATAATAAAATTGTTTAAAGAATTCTTTAATTTTATTTATTATTATTAGTTTATTTTAATTTGGTGAGAGATGGAAAGTGAGAAAGCAAGCCACCAGGTCTAGGACTTAAATGACCATCAGCCGTGTGGTAGTCCAGCACCTTAACCACTATGCCACCTGCTGGCCCCAGCAATAATCTCTCTTAAAAAAAACAAACAACCTGCTTTTGGCCAGCTGGTGGTATGATGGTTAAGGTGACTGGGATTTATGTGACTGATTGCATGGTCAAGTCCCAGACATGTGTGATCCATGCTCAGAATCCTGAGAGAACGGAGAAGGGATTGTGATATGGCCATCTCCCCCTCAGGGGTACTTTCTCATTTTCTTGTTCTCTATGTCTCCCTCTCTCCAATAAGTGCACATGTCCTGTAGCAAATTTAAAAAGAAAAAACTGTTTATGAGTCATGTAAAATTTGTGTGTCCACTCTTCATCTATGGAGAAAAATTATTGTTTTTTCCCTCACCTCACTTGAGTTATGGGAAACAGTTTCTTTTTTTCTTTTCTTTTTTTTTTTTTTTCTTTTTTTAGGAATATTTATTTAGAGGAACAGCAGGTGACATGTTGGTTAAGGTGTTGGACACTCTGGCCTGGGCCTGAAGGCTTGCTTTCTCACTCCCCCCACACACACCCCTCATGTGTGACTCTCTCTGGTCAAATTAAAATAATGAATAAATAAAATTTAGAAAAAATATTTAATTTTATTTATTGTTATTTTATTTTTAACTTGACCAGCGAGGGAAAGTGAGAAAGCAAGCCACCAGGTCTGGAACTCGAACTATGGTCAACCATTTGGGAGTCCAGTGCTCTTAACCACCATGCCACTGCCACCCCGATTTTGTCTTTTCAAGATGCAAAGTAAATTCCTTTCAAATAGTACAGTATCATCATACTTTATTTGTCTTTTTACAGATACTATTCGTTACTTGTCCTTGCATGACAACAAATACATCAGATACTTTCCTGGACACAGCAAAAGGTAGGACCTTGGTGTGTTACAGAAGTAAGGTTCTTTTCTCACTGAAGTTAGTTCTTTTATTACCTAGGTTGTGCAGAGATTTTTATTAGTGAACTAAAGCTAGCTGTTTGCCATTCCTTTTAGTCTTCTCTTGGTAAGCTGTCAACTATCGATTAATGGGTTATGGAGGTAGGGTAGGGCTTCAGAGATAAACTGAAATGTCATTTAAAACAAATTAGGAAAAAATTTAGTTAAAAATACTCAGTTTTCTTTCTGGATTTTTGGCACCATTTCCTATTACCTGTTTGTCAATAACTTTTTCTAGGTTTTTTTTTTTTTTTTTTTTTTTTTTTTTTTTTTTTTAAGGGCCTAGTGCTTTCCAGTTCTGTACTTTTTCCCTCTTTCATGAGACACTGAGAATGGGAAAGAAAAAAATCACCCTCTATCTGTGTAGAAGAAATTACACGTGGCATTTAGTATCCCCAAGTCTCAGAAATTCTTTATTGAAAGGATCATTTATGGGACCAGCAGTTAGCGTAATGGCTGTGTCGCTGGACTCCCATGTAGTCGACTGCAGTTCGCATCCCAGACCCGGTGTCTTAAAACTCACTCCAGGCGCGTGTGCGTGCGTGCCCAAGATCCCGAGAGGAGAACGGAGGAGAAGGGGTTGCCGCGTGGCCATCCTCCCTGGGGGATGATTTCTCGCTTTCTATTTCTCTGTCTGTCTGTCTGGCGAGCGCACGCACCCTATAGCAAAAACCTCTCAAAAAAAAAAAAGGATCATTTATGTTTATGTGACCTCCTATTTTAGGTGGCCCGATTTTAGCAGGTCCCTAAATAAAAGTGTAATTAGAAGAGCTTAATGAGAATACAAAATGAAACAGAATGATATTGTGTTGCTTTTGAAGTCAAGAAGCTTGTCTCCTTATTGTAATCACTTGGGGTGTTTCCTCCTGCTTGCGGTTGCAAATATACAGTAACCCAGGTGCTTTTATGTAGTATGGGACCTTGGTAGGAGATAGGTCTAGAGCTCTGTGTTGTTAGTTGAACTTCTGATTGGGCAAGGCAGTTCTGCGTTATTGAAGACAGGAAGTGGCATCTGTTAGTTACTGTGTAGTTCCAGGTAAAGAATGGCTTATGACAAGTAGTTTTTGCTTATTGGTAATCAAATGAATGTTCACAAGTATACCATTTATAATTAAAGAGTTGATACGGTTGTTTAACTTTCTTTCCAATCTTCCCAATTATTCAGTCTCTTGACTTCTTTAGTAGATGACTCTGTTCCTCTTTTGAGGAACTCAAGGTTATCCAAAATGAGTTCTTTTCAGCTTCTGTCCTTCCCACTAAAGTCCTCTCTTCCTTGAAACCCTTTCCTTGAGAAAGAAGTAGCTTTCTTTGTTAATAAAACCAGTCTAGTTCATTGGGCTTGTTTCCATTTTCTTAGATTTTTTTTTTTCCTCGCTGCCTACAGATCTACTTGTTCTACTCTATCTTTTTTTTTTTTTAAGAGTTATTTTATTGAACTTTATTTATTTTTGGAGAGCTTTTTGCTATAGGGCGCATGCGCTCGCCAGGAAGACAGAGACAGAGAGACAGAAAGCGAGAAATCACCCCCTGGGGGGATGGCCATGCCGCAGTCTCTTCTTTTCCATTCTCCTCTCGGGATCTTGGGCATGCACACACACGCACCTGGCATGAGTTTAAGCCACCGGTCTAGGACTCGATATTTGGGAGTCCAGTGATGTAGCCATTATGCCATCTGCTGATCCCTATTTTAGTTTATTTTATTCTATTTATTTATTTTAATTTGACCAGAGGCCGGGGGGGAGAGAGAGAAAGCAAGTCACCAGGTCCAGGACTTGAACTGCAGTCAACCATGTGGAAACCCAGTGCCCTTAACCACTACATCACCTGTCGGTCCCTCTACCTTATCTTAAATATGTATTATTGGGGTCAGCAGGCGACGAGGTGGCTAAAGTGCTGGGCATCCACATGGCTGACTGTGGTTCAATTCCTGGAAGTGGTGGCTGGCTTCCTCACTTTGTCTCTTTCTCTTTCTCTGTCTTTCTCTGATGAGCACATGTGCCCTGTAGCAAATTAAAAAATAATAATGATAAATAAAATTTAAGTAATTTTTTTTTATTTAACTTTTTTTATTCATTCATTTATTTTTAATTTGACCAGAGAGAGAGAGACACACGGGGGGGGGGGGGGAAGCTACCATGTCCAGGACTTGAACCATAGTCAGCCATGTGGGAGGGTCCAGCGCCTTAGCCACCACACTACCCACTGGTCTCAAATAATTCTTTTTTTTTAAATCTACTTATTGACCCTATCACCCACTCCTTGTCATTATCAAACTTGGAAGAATAATCTCTACACTTTCTATGTCCTTACACTTGTTCATTATTTAAATCACTTTTGCTCTGATCTCAGGATCATTTATGGGACTTTTCCAAATCTTTTTTCTTCCCATTATCTGCTGCTTCTAGTTAAAATATAGTGCTTTGGGGAACAGCAGTTGGCGTAATGACTATGTCGCTGGACTCCCATGTAGTTGACTGCAGTTCGAGTCCCAGACCTGGTGGCTTAAACTCATGCTGGGCGCATTTGCGTGCATGGCCATGATCCCGAGAGGAGAATGGAGGAGAAGGGATTGTGGCGTGGTCATCCCCTCGGGGGGTGATTTCTCACTTTCTGTCTCTCTGTCTCTCTCTGTCTTTCTGGCGAACGCACGTGCCCTATAGAAAAAAAAAAAAAAAAAAACTCAAAAAAAAAATAAATAAATAAAGGTCACTTCTACCTTAACATTTTTCTCCCTCTTTTTTTGTATTTTTATTAACTATATACTGCATTGATTTCATTCACTTTTACTCGAATGGCTTCCCAAACTAGTGTTTACAGCCCAGTCTATTAGGAATTCCAGACTCATTCTCCACATACAGGTTTTACCGCATCTGTACATGTGTCTGTCCTGTGCCCCCCCCTTACAAAACCGATATTGTCATCACTGTCATATTCCTTGGGCTACCTCCTCTCTGTCTGCCTCGTGTTTCTTCATCTCTGTTCCTTCTAACTCCTCTGACTTAAAGCATCTGTTGTCAGTCTATTTATTTTCCCGTCTTCATGAAATCCAGTAAGTGGCTAAGCCCTATTGATTCTACTTGGGTTTAACCTTGTGTGTTGCTTTCCTCTGAACTCTCTCCTTTGCTTCTTGCTGAGCTCATGCCCTGCCAGATGGATTATTTTCAAATCGTAATAATCTCTCTATTCCTTGCCATTCTGGTTCAGCACCTTGCATTAAAGCTCAGACTGCTTCACAGCTTCCCTCAGGAAGCCTTAGTGGTTCATGTCTGCCAGCTCCTTCCTTTTGGAATCAGGTTCTGCCCCCTGTGGCTCTAACGTATTTCCCTAGTGTTATCTCTTACCATGCAGTTGAGGTGAACTCATGCCTTCCTGTCAGCCCCTTCTGAAAAACTGTCTCTCATCAAAACCCTGTCTACCTCAAGTACTTCTTCCAGAAGGTGTTCACTGGCTCTCTTTTGGAGTCTGTGGACCAGGCAATTAAGCTTCTTTAGGGTCGAAAGGATCTTGCTGCCCCCCCCCTCTTTTTTTTTAAGAATTATTTTATTTGACTTTATGTATTTATTTGTTTAAATTTGACCAGAGAAGGACAGAGTGAGAGAGGTAAAGTGAGAAAGCAAGCCATCAGATCTAGGACTCGAACCATAGTCAGCCATGTGGGCGTCCAGCGCCTTAATAACCACTATGCTACCTGCTGGTCTCAAGGATTCCAGTTTCTCCATATTCTCACCAACACTTGTTATATCACTTTTTTCATTTAGCTTTATGAACTTTTTTGTTGTTGTTTTAAAGTTTACCTTATATATTTCTTCCATGAGTGAGGGAGAGCATGTGTATGCACCCCTGACAAGTTTTGACACTGTGGTCCTTCCCCAGCCAACCTAGATGATGAGCACATGCATGCCCAGCATATTCAAGGAGGTCTCCAGATGGGTGACAACCTGGAATTTTCACTTTCACAAGTGGGTCAGCTCACAGAGCATCACGTTTTCCTGCTGTGCCACTATACAGCCCCTTCTCTTTTCTTTCTTGCTTGTGGAGGTTTAGATTTGCATTGGAATCATACATGTTTAGGTTATAGCTTTGCTCATTTCTGTATACTAGTCTTTGCTTGTTCCAGGTATGATTGTGTATGTGTGGAGTTTTTTAAGGGCGTTTTTGGGAGATTAGGGGTGTGTGGGGAGGCAAAGTGGTTTAGAGGTCACATTTAGTTTTTACTCACATTTTGCTTCAAGTCTTGTTTTGTCTTGATGCATTGCAGGGTGGTGGCCTTGTCCATGTCACCCGTGGATGACACTTTCATTTCTGGGTCTCTTGATAAGACCATTCGACTCTGGGATCTCCGATCTCCTAACTGCCAGGTAATGGTACTTCCAATGAAACTTTTTTGTATTTTCTACAATAGGCACTATAATCAACTCTTCTGTCAAGGAAGAGAGAACACTAGTTCCATTCTGGGGTACCATATGCTTTTTTTTATTATTATTTTAATTTGCCATAGGATGCTTGAGTTCACGAGAGAGAGAAAAGGAGAAATCACTCTCCAATGGGATGTGGTCACACCACAATCTCCTCTCTTCTGTATATCTATCCAGTTGGGATTTGGGGGCACACATTCCATGTGCCTGGCCTGTCTTTCAAGCTGCAAGTCCAGGACTTGAACCACATAGTCGGCTATGTGGGATCTGGCTCCCTTAACCAGTAGGCCAGCCCAGGACCCCAGAGACTTTTTAAACTTGATAAAAACCTGTTGTTTTTAGATAGCTGGTAAACAAATACCTGAATCTAGTTCAGATTACATTATACTTTCTGACTTAGTGAGTTTTTGGTGGTTTTTATCTCTTCCATGAGAGGAGGGTGTGCATTCCCAATAAGGTTCTGATGTTGCAGTCCACCCATAGCCAGCCTTAGATCATAGGCACACACATGCCTGGCATACTCAGAGAGGTTTCCAGATATGGATGTGGGTCTGTCCCATGTGGATCAGCCTCCCAGAGTACCACATCTTACTGCTATGCCACCATCCAGCCTTGTGTGATTTAGTGCTTTAAAAACAGTTTTCCAGGGCCACCAGGTACTGTAGTGGTTAAGACACTGAACTCCCATATGGCCAATCACGGTTCAAGTCCTGGACCCAGTAGCTTGAGAATCACTGGGTGTATATGCATGCATGTCCAACATCCTAAGAAAAAAATGGAGGAAAAGAGATCATGGTGTGGCTATCCACTCTTGCAGGGGGAGATTTCTCATTTTCTCTCTCTCTGTTTCTATCCAGTGAGAGCATGCACTCTGTAACAAAACTTAAAGAACAAAAATAGCTTCCTTAGAGTCTTTGAGCTATAGCTTTTAACCTCAAGGGATTTGTTTGTATTGGAACTGTTTCTACAATAGTGTGCAATTAGGGTTGATTAGAAGTCTATTGTATGGAGACCCTTTTTTTGGTCAAACTTGATTTTAGTTTGTTTTTACTTTTGGCTTGTCTAGGCAGGCTGGTATCTGTTTATATCCATTTTTAAGAAAATTATTATTTTTATCACCATATTTTAATATGACCAAAGAGAGAGAGGGAAAGTGAGAAAGTAAGCCGCCAGGTTCAGGACTTGAACCACAGTCAGCCATGTGGGAGTCCAGCACTCCATTCAACTGGGTGTATATGCATGCATGTCCAACATCCTAAGAAAAAAATGGAGGAAAAGAGATCATGGTGTGGCTATCCACTCTTGCAGGGGGAGATTTCTCATTTTCTCTCTCTCTGTTTCTATCCAGTGAGAGCATGCACTCTGTAACAAAACTTAAAGAACAAAAATAGCTTCCTTAGAGTCTTTGAGCTATAGCTTTTAACCTCAAGGGATTTGTTTGTATTGGAACTGTTTCTACAATAGTGTGCAATTAGGGTTGATTAGAAGTCTATTGTATGGAGACCCTTTTTTTGGTCAAACTTGATTTTAGTTTGTTTTTACTTTTGGCTTGTCTAGGCAGGCTGGTATCTGTTTATATCCATTTTTAAGAAAATTATTATTTTTATCACCATATTTTAATATGACCAAAGAGAGAGAGGGAAAGTGAGAAAGTAAGCCGCCAGGTTCAGGACTTGAACCACAGTCAGCCATGTGGGAGTCCAGCACTCCATTCATCACCACACCACCTGCCAGCCTCTCTGTTTTTTAGTTTTCACTAGGAGAAGTAAATTAAATAGTGAAGAGGATAATGGATTCATTACTTTTTGTCTTACTTCTTTTCACTTAGGGCCTCATGCATCTACAGGGCAAACCAGTTTGTTCTTTTGATCCCGAAGGATTAATTTTTGCTGCTGGTGTCAACTCGGAAATGGTCAAACTTTATGACCTTCGTTCTTTTGATAAGGTGAGTTTTTTCATCTTTGAGGGAGCTTGGTATTATATATGTTTTAAAGGGCGAGGTGGACACTTAGGACCCTTTTCTATGGTAGAGGAAGCATGTGCTGCATATTAGAGTGGCAGAGCAGTACTTCATCCTTTGCTTTCCCTAGTCAGAAAGGAGTCTAAAGAGGTAGAATGGAAGTTGACTCCAGTATAAAGATTTATTAATGTACCTTGGGCCTGTGGCATATTTATCTTTCGCAGGGTCCCTTTGCAACCTTTAAGATGCAGTATGATCGGACTTGTGAATGGACAGGACTTAAGTTCAGCAATGATGGCAAGCTCATCCTCATCTCCACCAATGGCAGCTTTATCCGTCTCATCGATGCATTCAAAGGAGTGGTGATGCATACGTTTGGGGTGAGCCATCAGTCGTTGAGGCTGGCTGCATCTGTCCTTTCTGAGCTGAGAATTATGTTAGTTGTTTGGTGGCTACCAGCGGTTATCCTTGACTCACTGATCCAGGCGTGGACTTGCATTTTTTCCCTGCACATGAACTTATTTCCCTTGGATTCTGAGACATTCACTTCTCACCAAGTGACCCAACTTTGGTGTTACATATAAAATAATGTCTAACCATAAAGTTTACTTGCCACTTAGAGTTGGCAGTAGGGGATGGATTAAAGGCAGTAGCCACTTTGGGAATCTTGAAGGTGTCATGTATGACAGATAAGTGTTTCATGGAAGAAAAGGTGAAACACGGGCTGTGTCTGTGTTTTTAATGCATCGTTTTTATTAATGGCCCTGTAACAAGTCAGTTGCTCTGTTTTATTTTAGGGTTATGCCAACAGTAAAGCTGTCACTTTGGAGGCTTCATTTACTCCAGATTCTCAGTTTATTATGATTGGTGAGCTTCCTTTACTCTCCTTGGGGATATTTCTCATTACTGTGCATTTGTTTATATAAATTGTTAAACTCATTAATATATTATGTATTTGATATACATTCTTAGATTGCTGTGTAGTGCATTATGCCACGGGTACAGCGTCTTTACACTGTCCTGTCTTTGGGTTTCTTTACTGGGAACTGACTTTAATGTTAGTCTTCCCTGGACCAGCATAGCGTTAAACTCTGCAAGTACTACCCTGTTGGTCAACTAACTTCCTTGTATAACCCTGCATTCAGGGTTATACAGGCTATATGTTGGTAGGGTAATGATTTCCAGCTCCTTGTTTAAATGAGAAACCTGAAGTTAGAGGGGAAGTGACTTGTCCATGAACAAATAACTAGGGTCAAGACCCACTCCCAAAGTGTCCTTCCTCATGCCTCTCCTTTCTCAGTTTCAGTGCTAGGTCCTCAAGCTTGACCTTTTTCCAGAACTCAGTC